GACTCAGATCTATTACTTTTGTCCTGAGATAGAGCCACTTTTAGGAACAACTTGTAAAACACTAATTCATGTAATATATTTACTGGAAAGTTGGGTGACTGTCAATTGATTTAGTGATGTTTGAGTCCTATGTTGTATGGTGGTAAAATTACATGATAAATACTGGCATAGCTCAAGGTAAAGATTGACAGTAGAATTCCAGGCAGAGAAGTCCCTGAGAATTGAATATGATTGAATGGAAGGGACCTCCCCCCACCTCATCTAATAGTAGTAATATATAGAACATTTTAAGAATATCTTGTTCTTTATTCTGTCTTAATGATTTGAAGCTTCTTTGCCTTTTCTTTTTTTCTTAAAAAAACATTGCTTTGCATTGTAGCTGTAATATCTTCAGTCATCAGCTGGTGTTGCTCAAGATTCAGCATTGGAAATTAGGCTGCAGAGTTACAGTTCTTTCAGTCAGCTGCTTTCATTTGGCTAGGTATTTCTTAAATCTGCCCATGAATTTTGGGCATATTTAGAATCATACCCTATTGGTTTCAGGATTTTATTATGATAATTGACATACTGTGAACATACTCTTAAAAGAATTTACACCAAAGTTCTTACTCTGTAGTCACCAACCCTTTTGTAACTCCTAAATTGCTTGCATCATGAAATATTTTTGTAAAAGAAATATTTAGACATCATTGTCATTTTCTATTTGTAAGCATCCCATGCGTTCCCTTGGCTTCTTCTAGCTTTTCCTTATACTTCAAAGGCCATTAAGGTAGAAAAGATGGGATAGCTGCTTGATATGCAATTTGGTAAGGCTAGCAGCCCTTGACCAGAAAAATATCTGATGTGGAAAAAATTAAAAGAGTCATATCTCAAATCAGGCCATGATTTGATTTACCTTAATTTATTGACTGACTGGCCATATCCTTACCATTAAGGTAAGCCATAGATAAGGTCTCCTTTGAGTCAAATGCAATCTTCCCATCTAGACAAGTTGTGTGAAAGACTTGTAGTCTGTAATAGCAACAGCTGAGGTGTTATGTATGGTCTGCTATTTTCTCATTGTTGATTTGTTCTGGTCTGCCTATGTAACAATATCCCCATGCTCAATCAATTAGTCTCCATTCAGCTGCTTTTGGAAAAATGCCTATCTATCTACTAGTTTTAGTGGCTTTTTGGTTGAAATTAATTTCACTAGGAAGGCGTATGTATGTTTTCATAAAATATACCTAGCAATTTTTATTTTTATTTCTATATTTAGGGGAACTATTGAGTTGTAAAAAGATGTATGTTTAGTCTGTTTGGGAAGAAAATGGAATAGAGCCTCTTTTGAAACTTTGCTTTTGTTATTCAAATAAACACCATATTTAAAAAAAAATAGAACAGAAATAAGAAAGTTGTAGAATTCAGAGGATTACCCAGAACTTATGGAAAAGATAGTATTTTTATCTGGTCCAAGCAAAGAAGCAATGCAGATGTCATATAACATGACAGACATCTTCCTTTATCTCTAGAATTAGGCTCACTCCCCTCCAACTGTTTGTGTCATTTATATCCTCCAAAGATATGGCTGTAAATGTTTGAGAATTTGGAATTAATTTCAATCATTCTCAATAGCAGCCTATCATGAGGGGTTCCTGTTGGAACCCAAATTGGGGGAACAAAGAGCAATTCTTCAAAAATGAAAGCAGCTGTCCCCATCAACTCCTGAGGAGGTATTGAAAGTATCCTTTTCAGCTGGCTGACAGCCCATTTGCATATTTCAGGAACCAGCTGTGTCCCCTCCAGCCTGATGAAAATCCTGAAATTTTAGGTGAAACCTTATAACGGATATCTATGTCAGTGTTTGTTTACCTCAATGTTAAGGTGTCAATTCTGGGGTTGAAGCCAATTCAGGAAACTGGAGTCCACACAAAAATTACTGAGGTTAACAAACACTGATCTAGATTCCATCTTTATAATTCCATCTTTATAACTATGGAAAGATAGTTCCATAGCACTATATTTAATCTTTGGATTAGGGGCTCATAAACAGAAGTTCTCCACTTCCAGTTCAAACATTTTGGTGAAATAATTTGAAAGAATGTAATTGTAAATCACAAACTTAAAGTGAAGACTGAAATTCTGTACATAGAGCAGGGGTATCAATCTCAAGGCCCATGGGCAGGATCCGGCCCATAGGGTGCTTAGATCTGGCCCACAGGGCTGGCCCAGAAATAGCAAAGGACTGGCCCATGATGCCTGTTAGTGAAAACGGAGCTCAATATATGTTTACTGAATAAAATACATTATGTTATAATACAGCCATCAAAGAAGATGCAATCTATTTCACCCTTCTTACAGAGCTCATCACATTCTTTATCTAGGAATTTCATATTTTTTTCCTGGGCTCCTCTGACTTTATTGTGGTCAACTACAAATCTCTTGCCTTCTTTGGTGATCAAGCCAGCATCTATAAATGCGGCTGTGGTAATGGCAGCAATGGCACATAGACCAACGCCATATCTTATGCTCTGCATAGCGACATTTGTTATTTCTAATCAATGGTATTCTGTCTTTCCTTTTGAAGTAGAGGGCACGTGTGTTTGGTCTAAGGCTTCTTTATAACTTTTTTTAGAACCCATTACAGATCAGTTATCACATTCACAGGAAATGAGACCAGCAGTATTAACACTCTCAGATAAAATAATTGTAAACAAAAAGAAAAAAAAGACAAACCTTTCAAAGGAAACAAATAAAATGCTTAAAAATTATAATATTTATGTAGTTATTTGACAAGCACATCTAAATTATATAAAGTAACCAAAATATCTTTATAATCCCCAAGGCATGTCACAACTTTTGACTATCCCTAATGTCTGGAAATTGAAAGCTGAAAAAATTGACAAGCCCTACGTAAGGACCAGATTGTCCCAGCTACTCTGTAGCTACCAGCAAAATAAATGCAGAGAAATGTTTTGCTACCCTTATCAACATCATGTAATCCCCGATATGGGTTCTTACATACACTGTGTGCAAAATTATTAGGCAAATTATATTTTGAAGGATTAATTTTTATTGAAAAACTACAATGCTCTAAGACAATCAAAATGTTAATAACCCTCAAACCTGACTATTTAAGAAACTGAGATTTTGGCTTTCTTAGAATATCTATGTGTGCACAATTATTGGGCAATTATTAGTGTGCAGAATTATTATGCAACTAAATGAGAAATGAAAATTTGCCCATCTCAATCAGCAGTGTATGGCAGCAGCCAAAAAAAACCAGTGCAATCCTAAATTGCATTAACAGAGGGATACAATAAGATCAAGTGAGGCACTAATAGTCTAGTGAAGAGAAGGACCAGGGGAGACATGATAGCAGTGTTCCAATATTTGAGGGGCTGCCAAAGAGAGGAAGGGGTAAAGCTATTTTCCAAGGCACCTGAAGGCCAGACAAGGAATAATGGATGGAAACTGAACAAGGAGGTGTTCAACCCAGAAATAAGGAGTAGTTTTCTGACAGCGAGAACAATCAACCAATGGAACAGCTTGCCTTCAGAAGTTGTGGGAGCTTCATCATTGGAGGTTTTTCAAGAAGAGATTGGATTGCCATTTGTCAGAAATGGTGTAGGGTTTCTTGCTTGTGCAGGGGGTTGGGCTAGATGACCTACTAGATCCCTTCCAACTCTGTTAATCTAATCTAAAGGGGTAGAGGGAAACAATGTTTTGTAATTATGAAGTAGAGAAATACCATTGCATATATTTATAAATTCTGTAATAAAGTTTGGGTCACTTTAAATATCTTTTTCCTTGCTTTCAGTAATTTTTAATCTTTTTTTCTTTCTTGTATATTTTTCATGTTTATTTTTTAACTTTGGAAAAGTTTCTGTCTATCTACTTATGCATGCCCTTAGCCTCTGTTCATGTGCTTCATTTCCTAGAACACCCATGGAACATCTTGTGATTGACCCAGAGGGAAAATTTCATTGAAGCTCAGCCACATACTCATCCCAGGCTGTGACCAGCCTCAGGTGAACACTTGGGGCAAACTCTAAGCTCTCTCTGGAATTCTACCAGCTCTATCGTCACTGGGGTCTAACAGGCGAGGTGGGTGCTTAGAAAGTGATACATACATACATACATACATACATACATACATACATGTTACCAAAGCATGTTAGACTTACAACCATTTAATATAAACCAATCTACCATGCTTTTCCAAGAAGACCTAGACCAACTAGTCATAGAAAAAGATAAAATAACAATGCCCTTCGTTTCACCTTTTACAACAAACAGCAATCTTGCATAAGAAATGCACTTTCTGTGTAAATACATATGTAACAGAAAATAAAACAGGTCAGGAGAAAGATGGAGATCACTAGAACAGACCAGTCACATTTGAATGCCACAAGAATCACAATTCTCCAGTCTTGGACTATTGGCCAGAGCCTATAAAGTGGCTGTCAAGATAAATATTAACTCAATCTGATTTACAGTTAACACATCTGACAGCCAACACAATGTAGTGCTTGAACCGATGGCTCTAGTGAGATCCAGTTTAAAGTCCATCTTCAATCTCTGATCAATCAATCTCTCTCGATCTAGGCTACCCCATAGGGGCATTGTAAGGAAAAGTGAGCAGCGGGAACATGGTAAATACCATCTTTAGTTCTTGAAGGAGAAGCGGGATGTAAAACTAGAAATTTAATAGATAAATCAACAGAAATTACATATAGTTAATGATCACTCTATCACCATTATTTTCCCAATCCCCCAAACTAATTTGGTGAAAACACTGCAAAATTTTTGGGACCTATTGCCATGGCTTTCAGTGTACACAGGGGGCTCTGTCGATGTACAGGTAGCCCTCAATATATCACCCTTAATGATTATTCAAAGTTAAAATGGACCTCCTCAGAGCTACTTACAACCTGTTTTCAAAGTTACAGCTGCACCTCCCCCCCCCCCACAGTCACATGATGACATTTTAGGTGCTTGGTGAGTGACTCACCTTTAGGTTTTTTTTTGCATGTTTCTGATGTTTGCTTCAGGCTTCAGACAAAAAAAAACAAACAGCGATTGCTAATGCCTGTGGTGTTTGCTGCATGGCCTCAAAAAAAAAAAAATCTTTAAAAAATTGGGTTGACACATAATGCCTTGATATATGACCATAATGACTTATTACCATAATTCTGGACTCATTTATGGTCATAACTGAGTACACTCCCCATGCCTGCCTGGATAACTCAGAACTCACTTAACAGGAAGTTAAAACAACAGGTATACTTGGTAAACATGACTGCACTTTGATATCACAAAAGTCAGAGCAGTGTTTGATTGAATCAACTAGCTAACAGACCACTGTCCTTTAAGAACATATGAAAGGAGACAAAGGTGTCAGGGTTTGAGACTGTTAGGCAATCCCATTCCGGTAGCAATAAAATCAATAGAGCACTAAAAGGAAAATAGTTTTTGTCTTCGGTATGGATGTCTTCCCTAGTAAGTAGTAAGTAGCCCTGATGAACCCATGTGATTTGAACAAGAACTTAAATTAAATAGGCTCCATCATGATGTCACTACGTTCAACCTTCCATTTTTATCCTAACATAAAACAAATCAGCCCCCATGTCTAATACCAACATAGATCCGCACCTGTAATCATCATTGTATTTTACTTAATCAACTTTAATGGTAAAATAGTAAGAAATAGCAGAGTCTTTAAAAACTTACTCTGAATAATGACAAAAGTGAAGACAGCTGACATTTTGGATAACAGCGCAAAGCATGTACATAGACTGTCATGCAACCAAATGATTTGTAGAGCATTAAATAGAGCAGTATGATGATAAAATGTAAAAGGAAACATTATGAATGATGACAAAATGTCAATTTTAAAATATTTTTATGCTGCTTAAATAACTATATCTCAAATATTATGTATTACATATTATGTAAATAATTAGAACATGCAAAGACACAAAAACTTCTTAAATTATCCTAAAATTGTTCTTATTTCTAACCTTATTTTTATTTATAAAACAGATATTTTGAAAAAATAGGGAAAAAAATCATAGAAACTCACAATCAAACCATTTTTATTTACCCAAACTGGTAGCATACAAATTGGCAAAGTGGTAGTTATTATCTGAAGCAACAGATGATGCAAACAGATTAAATCTTGAAGGGAAAACTTTGTAATGGTTTCATCTGATTCATTTCTTAATTGAAGTTTTAAAATTTGACATTCATAGATGTCACTGCAGATGAGTGGTGGACAAACCGTCTGTCAAGAAGTATTTATTATCTGCTTAAAATATGACTCATACTTATTTGAGAGGAGAATGATCACCACCTAAGTTGGTGGTTTTAAAACTTGAATTAGATAGAAAATCAATGGAGCTTCCAATTTATACTAAGGATCTGGACAAAAAAAGTTTGAAATAATGACTAGAAAGGAATAAAACTCATTTGGAATCCAACTGCACAAAGCTAGATTTCATTCATTCATTCATCTAGACATCCACCTGTCTGGATGATTTAAGTACTCTACTTTGTACAATGGGTTGGACTAAAACCTCCAAGATCCCTTCCAGGCCTCTTTGACTCTGATTCATTTTAGAGCTGCTTTTCTCTGAACTGGCATATAACATTACTAATTACTTGTCAGCATAAATCACTGCACACTACAGACCAATGCTTTCAGGTGTTCAAGTTAGTGGTGACCATTCTAGAGCTTTGTCACACAAAAGAAAATGACAACTATTGAATGCAAATAATAATATTTAGTAAAGCTTTTTTGTGGACTGGACATTTTTTAATTTTTATGGTCCTATTGATAGGACTCAATAGTGGGATAGAGCAGAATATGGAGACAAATTGTGGAACTCTTTGGAAAATGGGGGTTTGTGGTACAAAATGGTAACAGTCCGTCTTCCACTATTTTAAAAATATATGGTAGTTTGTTGCCAATATCCCCTGAACTATACAAGCAAAGGCAGAAAATCTGTCCAAACCCAATTTTATTACTCAGAATTTATTATTCTCCTCCAATTTCCTAGGTTTTATTTTGGGTCTTGTGTTTTAAAACCCACTTTTCAACATTAAAATCAAATCTTATAGCATATTCTCCTTCCTTTTTACCTTCTCCTCAAACATTCAAGGGTAATTTTTTACTAGTCTTCTACAGTTAGATTTAAAGAGGCTCTTAGCTGATGGAAGTTATTACATTATTTTATATTGAGGTCTCTGGATTTTAAGGATGCTACTTGTTTGGAGGGTTTTCAGATGTAACTTGAAATATAGTTGTCCTAACAAAATGGGAAGAATGCTTGGTGAAGTGGAGTCTGTTTACCCGTTTTTAGTGTTTGTGTTTAGAGAAGTTAAGAAAAGATTCCACTTGTCTATAATTCCTCCACTCACTATCCACCCCCAATTTATTAGGAAGAAACTGCTGGGAAATTTACAGGAATGAAGCATCATTATTTCAATATAGACCCTCTATTTTTCTTTTTCATCCAGCTGAGGAATTGTGATGGAAGTGTTGAACTTAAATCTATTGTCCTGGATATTAACATATTAATACTGAACCCAGAAAATATGGAATAGTTAATACTTGGTACAAATCAAAGAGGTTAACATTTTATTTTTGGAAATAATCTCATTCTTTATGTATCAAATCTACTAGGGGTTTTTTTTTGAATGTGGAAGAATTATTAATTTCATTCCTTAAATATGATATTTGCGTGTTATCAGTGGACCAACAGCTGTTCCCTCTGTTAATGAGCACTCAGGATTTGTTGAATTGGTATGATAGAAGAAAAGGGAAGCAATTGACATGGCACTGCCATTTATAGCAACTGCTTAACAATTAACAAGAACCTCAGTGAAATATAAGATAGTACAATATTCAGCTGAATGTTAATAAGAATCCTCTTCTTACAGAAACAGCCTGGTGAAGCAAATAAACAAGAGCAAGATTTGATATTAATCTTCTGAGATTCACATTAAGCAATTTTTACCTTAAAGTTTTGCTAATGGACAGCTAAAGAGGCCATATTATTTCTTCCTGCCAAATCTGCTACTAAAGGCTCACCTATCATAAGTTGCTAAAACTTAGTTTTAATTGGAGTATTCCATATAACTTCATCTTTTTCCGGAAACTGTAGCAACTTATTAAATAAGACTTGAATTATTTATTGTAAGCATCACTTGAATCTGATTCATTTTGTAGAGTTTGGCTTCTATTAAACTCCAAAGATTCACTGGAAGAAACAGCAAAAGTAATAAAATATAAGATTGCAGGTCAAAAGAAACTGGAACGTAGTGCTTTTGGTGAATTAGGTGCATCACAACACAAGAACAGCTTTGGCTTGGCTAATATTCTTAGATTAGGAATCATCATACAGTGGATTGTTGTAGTTTCCCCAGGATCCATAATCATGGTCCTCAAAAAGTCTTCCATATGAAGAATGCCTAAGAATGAAAAGAAACAGTATTTTACTTTAATTAGCCATCCTTTTCACTGTGCCTTCATCACCAAAGTTTCTCATTATCATATGCAGAGTAAGACAGAAATTATTAAACATCCTAGTACATGAGGACAGATATGATATTGTTGTTAATATGGAAACTTGGTGAGATGAAACCCATGAAGGGAATATACAGCTAGATGGATCTAAATTATTAAAAAAAACCAGACCTAATGAAGGAGGGAGTGGACTTGCATTATATAAGAGAAATAACTACATCTCTACAGAAATACAGCAGAATCATACTGGAAACTCTCAAATGCGTTTGGGTCAATATAAAAGGAGAAAAAGAATGTTATTGCTCTAGGTGAACTATCCTGTCAGAGCTGAAGACGCTTCTCGGATGAGAAGTGAAATATCTTCAAAAGAAAAACAAGAAAGACAAACAAGTTGCCTCCTGAAAAAGCACCTTTCGGATATATATATAGAGCCTTGGTGGCGCAGTGGTTAGAGTGCAGTACTGCAAGCTACTTCTACTGCAATTTGCCAGATCGAATCCCACCAGACTCAAGGTTGACTCAGCCTTCCATTCTTCCGAGGTGGGTAAAATGAGGACCCAAATTATTGGAGGCAATATGCTGACTCTGTAAACCACTTAGAGAGATCTGTAAAGCACTTAAAAATCAGTATATGTCTAAGTGCAATTACTATATTGCTATATGGTAGGCCACCTAACCAAACAGAGGAAATAGATGAACATTTTGTTAACCAATTAACTAAGCACATCATGATAGTAAGGGTGTAAGGGGACCTAACTTTATATCAATTGGGAAACAAACTCTGTACCTAGTGGAAGATCAAATAGATTCCTGACAAACCAAGGAAAAAACTTGTCTCCCAAAAGGTAAAGAAGGAAAAAAGAGGGTCAGCCATACTGGATTTAATTCTCACTAACAAGAGATGAAATGGTAGGTGTTGAAGTTACAGGAACCTTGGGGATGGTTGGGTAGTGATCATGCAATACTGAAATGCAAGGACAAGCAATAGAAAAAGTCAAACTAGAGTTTACAAAAGAGAGCTGATTTCAATAAACATGGAGAGAGCTTGAAAAGGATTCCATGGTTGAGGACCCTCAAGGGGAAAACAACCCAAGAACCTAAAGAAAATTTGAAAACTGAAATTATAAAAGTGTGATCTAGCATAATTCCAATGACAAAGAAAAATAAGAAAACTCAAAGCAACATGGCTACACAAAGAACTCTCTGATAAAATGCAAGACAAAAAGGACAAGTATGAAAAGAGAATAGAGGGGCACATAACTAAGACAGAATATCAGCACATAGCCTGAACCTTGGAAATATGAAGTCAGAAGAACTAAGGTTCAAATGAACTAAGAGTTGTGACAAAAGTCAAAAATAACAAAAAAGATTCTTTCAAAAAAACAAGGAAAAAGTCAAGGAAATGATTGGTCCATTATTGGGGGAACATGGCAAGAAGGTGGTGAGAAGCAAGGAGAAAGACAAACTGCTTAACTTATTTTTTAAAATCTCTCTTTACACTAAAGGAAAAAACAGTCCAATCTATCCAAAAATGCAGATGTAAAATGAGAAAATGCAGATTAGGAATGCAAGTCAAAATAAGCAAGAAAATGGTAAGAAAACACCGGTCCATTCCAGAAATTCCAAATCACCAGAACCAGATAAGGTTCTGAAGAAATTGGCAGATGTGATCTCAAAACAACTGAACCATATCCCAGAGCCCGGGGAACTACCAGATGACTGGAAAAGGACTCATGTAATTCAGAAAGGAAAAAAATGGATCTGGGAAACTACGCATCTATCAACCTGATATCAATACCTGGAAAGATTCTGGAAAAGATAATCAATGAATCTGCAAACACTTAGAGACAAATAAAGTCATCTTTGGATCATTAAAAGATCTTGATGGGGACTTCCGGTTGCAAGGCTTCAGCGGTGGCATTAATCCACGATTCTGCGGGTCCCTGCTGCGCTCGCTGCTGAAGTACCCCCGATCCAATTGGATTTGGGGGTTGTCGCTACCCCGGAGAGGTAGTGGAAGATAGAGGAGACCCGGGAAGAGGTCTGGGGACATCGCAACCCCTTTCCCCAGCTGGTTAGACTCCTTTTTCCTGAGGCGGTGGAGCGGCTGTCAGTAATGGCAGCCACAAAGAGATCTTCAACCAGACAAGACTTGTGCAGGAGGAAGAATTAGAAAGAGAAAGTTTTTTGGCTGAACCAGGACATTAAAATACATTTAAACACCCTGGAAATCTGACTCTTTGATTGATACATTTGTTTCCAAAAGAGGCTATAAAAGCGGTGGATAAAAGTGCTGAAGGGAAAGTTTACTCCCCTTCCTTACGGAGATAGCAAACGGACATTGAAAAACCTGCTTCTTTACAGAAGGTAAAAATAAGCTCTTTGTTATAACTGGGAAGGGAGAGGACTAGAATATCTTTAAGAATTTGTTGGAGGAGATGCCTTGAAGATTACAAGACCAGAAATTAACTGTAATAAGGCTTTAAAATATATTTTGGGATTTTGCCCCAGGAGGAGAAAGTGCAAAGAGAAGAAGAGGAAATATTTTGTATCTGTTTGGATTGCTTGATAACTTTGGAACGTTTGGAAATTACTTTAAAATTAAAAACATTTGGGTTGTTCTTTTTAGAAGAAGAAGAAAAAGCTTTACAATGGCACTATCTGTGGATGAATTAAAAATGGAATATGAAAAATTAAAGAAAGGAGAACAAGAAGGCAAGGATCCTTTGGGAGCTGTCTTCCACTTTTTAGAAATGGCGATTTCTACTTATCAGCAACTACATGGGGAAGAAGGAGAAGAAGAAGAGGAAGAAGCCATCTTTAATGGACAAAAAAGTTCAACTAAGAAAGAAAACAGGAAGAGGGAAGGATAATTGAGAATCTAAGATTTAACAAAACAACCAAGAAAGAGAAAAATAAGGTGAAAAAAAGGTACAATGTTAGAAAGCAAGAGAAAAGAGAAATACAACAGAGAGGGGAAGTTAAAAAGACGGAGGTTGGGGGGGGGGGCAAAAAGGCCAGACAGGAGAAGAAAGGGAGAGAAAAAGGGAAAAAAAGTCACAAAGGCTTGAAACAAGATGCCAAAAAACAGATTTTTTTCAGAGATAAAGGGTAAAGCATAATTAAAGAAAGATTCTGCAAGAGTACATAAGATAGTATTGTAGTATTTGTTTTGAAATAGTGTATTGGAATATTATATGATTTAATAAAATATTAAAATATTAAAATGTTTAATAATGATAGATTTCAATATTCAATAAAATATTAAAGAGAATGTGTAAAATGATTAATGTTTATAGTTTAATTTGTCATTGTTTTAAAGTTATCATAAATTTACTATTTCATTTTCTTATTTTAAAATAATGTATTAAGCAGAATTAGAATTAGAATGGAAATTATATATTTAATTATATTATAAATTTATTATTCTTTTATTTTAATATACAACATGTAGAATGTACTAAGCAGAATCAGAATGGAAATCATGTTTTAAGTGTCAATTTAGGGGAAAGATAGAAAGGCGTCACACTTTAAAAGTGATTACAGGGGAAATTTTCTGTTAAAAAGAAGAGATAAATAGATAATTGGAAAAGAACGGACAAAAGATACAAGTACAATGATTCTAAAATAAGATGAAATAAACAAAATATAATTAAGAGAGTGAAAAGAAGGGAGAAGTTATATAGAAAATATAGAAGGTAAATAAGATAAGAATGGTATATAAGGTGAGCATGAATTTGATTTAGGTCTGTAAAAAAAGATGTAACCCAGGCTAAGCCACTTTCCAAAAATAAGTTTTATGTTTTATGTTTTGTGTTTTGGTTAGCTATGTTTGATCGAGAATTAATAAAACCTTGGAGGAATAAAACCAAAAGGAGAAACAATGAGAAATTTGGAAAAGATATGTATAAATGATAATTTGGAATTATGTTGTATAAAAGAATGTCTTATTTGTTTTGTCAAAATTTACAAGTAGCCTTCAGAAAGGAGGTTTTTATGTTTCTATGTTTTGTTTTATGTTTTGTATTTTGTGTGTTTATGTTTGATTGAGAATTAATAAAATCTTGATAGAAAGAAATATAATTGAATAAAAGTGAAGGGAGAAACAATGAGAAATTTGGAAAAGATATATATGTGTGTAAATGGAAATGTGATAATTTGGAACTATGCTGTACAAAATAATGTTTTATTTGCTCGTTAAAACCTATAAGCAGCTTTTAGAAAGGAGCTTTTATGTTTCTATGTCTTATGTTTTGTTTGTCAGAAGTTTTATGTTTTCTGTTTTGTATTTTGTGTGTATATATTTGATTGAGAATTAATAAAACCTTGATAGAAAGAAATATAATTGAATAAAAGTGAAGGGAGAAATAATGAGAAATTTGGAAAAGATATATATGTGTTTAATTGGAAATGTGATAATGTGGAACTATGCTGTATAAAATAATGTTTTATTTGCCTTGTTAAAACCCATACGTAACTTTTAGAAAGGAGGTTTTATGCTTTTATGTCTTATGTTTTGTTTGTCTTTAAAAAATTAATAAAATTTGTTTAAAAAAAAAGATCTTAATGGACTTGAACACTGGGCCATATTTAACAAAATGAAATTCAGTGGTGAGAAAAGTAGGGTTCTACATTGAGGCAGAAAAATTGAGATGCATAGGTGATGTTTGGCTCAATAGTAGTAACTGCGAGAGGAAACTTGGACAATCATTTAAATATGAAGCAAAAGTCTGCTGCAGATGCCAAAAGAGCCAATGTAGTCCTAGGCTGCATCAACAGAGAAATAGAATCAAGAACACATTAAGTATTAATGCCACTTATAATTCTCTGATGAGACCACACTTGGAACATTGCATCTAGTTGTGGTTGCCATGATATTAAAAAAATACCGTGACTCTAGAAAGAGTGAAGGCAGGCAAGGAAAGTAGGAAGAAAGGAAAGAAAAAAGAAAGACAGAAGGAGATGGGAAGGCAGAAAGTTTTGTGGTTGCGCAGAGAAGATCATCACAATATCACAATTTGGGTTGTAGAAAAATATCTTAGATAGCAAGAGAGAACAGAATAGAATCAGAAGAAAATCAGGAGTGCAACAGGAGAAAGAAGTAAGAGAAAGGTGTATAAAAACCTGCAGATGAGCAGACTAGAGGTATAGTTTCAGAATACTAATGGCGCAGCAAATGAAAGAGAGAGAAAGGGGAAAGGCTAAGGACTATTGAGAGGTATAGTAAGGGAACAATGTAAATCCAGAACAACAAAGGATTTAATGCAAGAAACAGTTAATACTGTGACAATGTACATACAAATGGCTGTGATCTTATTATTTATACTGTATGTAGAATGAGACAAAATTAGCAATAGTATATGACATGGGGAAGGCACCCACTTTCAGTTCTAAAAACAGTTACAAAGCCCATTTCAATCGTTCAAACAAATGATTATTTTTCTTCTGAATAAGAGTTTGCCAAATCTTACCTGATTTTTAAAAATGCAGCTATGCCAAATACCAATAGAACCACAGCAATTATGGTTATAGTAATAGCTGCAATGCTTCCTGCATAGGAAAAAAAAACGCATAAATTGGTTGGATGACGTTACCATTTCAAGATATTTTTTTATTTTGGATTCATATCAATGCAATATATTTGCACAATGTACTCTGAAATAATATATTTAGCAATACCAAACTATTTTTTAAGTATACAGTGAGACAAGAATTATCTGGAAAAATGTATTACTACTACATTGTGTAATCTACAACTGTACTGTAAATAAATTATTGTACTGCAAATAAATTATTTGCATACTTTCTTATTGTCTCACATTCTTCAGAAAGGCCAGATGGGGAGTTTACTTCAATAATGTAGTATAATCATCACAAATTGTACATACATAATTCAGTAAAAGCTGTTCTGGTAGATCAATATTGTTATGCACATGCTAAAAATGGCAATGTGAAGCTAAGAGAACAGCTTTTTGCCTTAAGCCATGAAATGACTTCACTGTGGTAAGATATAATCTGCATGCTTTTCAATTTCAATTTCAATTTCAGATTCATATTCTTAATTGGTTGCTAAATGACATTCTAGCTTCTATATTAGCTCAGAAAAGAAAAAAAGGAACTTCAGAAAGCAAGTAGTGGATGATTTCCTTTCTGGAGTCCTGATTTTTTTTTGTCTTCTTATCTGCTTGCCAAGGTGGAAGAAAAACAGCTAGCTCAACTTCCATGCTTGGTACTCTCCATTTCATTGGTACTTGACACATACACGTATCTTTTAAAAACGTGTACTTGTTGTTTATTCTCTTTGGAGTTATTCCAGATATGTAAACTAAGTGGTGGGGGGAGTAATTTCTTGACAAAATAGCATCCTAGAACTTCTGCGGATCCTTGTGAACCTATCAGAACCAAAAGGATTTCTTGCTTTGCATTTCCCTAAGCAATCTAACAAGAAAGAACCAGGTTTTATGAGTGGTAAACAATAGGCATAAGAAAAGGATTTCTAAATCACATTTCCAGCTAGTTTGAGTTATGATTTACTTTGATTACTGAACTGAATATCTATTGTTTATATTCAGAAGAAACCTAGTAGTTTCTTTGCCAACCGACACATTATTTAAGGTACAATATTTTGTATTATCTTCATCATATGCCATAGAAAGAGCGTTGTCTTACCTGAGAATCCATGGATGGGTTGACACATGCCTTTCTGCCCAGAGACTGAGTCCAACTGTTTTTGCCACACCCTTCATCAACTGTCATTCTCCCCAGTTCATGATGAAGGCGCAGCACTCTGTAGGACTTTTCTGTGGCATTGGCTCCTCCGGCCGTCCTGTGCTAGATGAAGGACCTGACTACCTCCCAGGGAGGGAATGGATTCTCCATCGTCATGATGAGAAGAAGCGTTCAGGTAAGACAACACTCTTTCTCCAGCACGACAATTGGAGAATCCATGGATGGGACATACCAAAACCTGGTGTCCCTGTGGGCGGGGATTGTGGTCCTGAATCGCCCTAGCTACATGCACTCTCTGAAGCACCCTCCTCCCAAAGAGCATCAGCTGAGGCAAAGGTCTCCAATGTATAGTGGCGCACAAAGGGAGATGGTGAGGACCATGTTGCCGCCCTGCAGATCTCCTCGATCTAAGCCTGCGTCACCCATGCAGCTGTGGTCACGGCGCTTCACGTAGAGTGGGCGATTAGTCGTCTGGGGACTGGAATCAACTGTGTCTTGTAGGCCTTCACAATACACGCTCTTATCCAAGGGCCTATGGTTGATGAAGTGACCTTTGAACCCAGAGAGGAAGGTTGAAATGAGACAAACAGTGATTTGGACTTTCAGTGAGGCAAAGTCTGTTTATGTAAGGCCCTCCTTACGTCCAGAGTATGCTATCTCTGTTCCAGTGGATGGGAAGGACCTGGACAGAAATTTGGCAACACTATCTCCTGGGCCCGGTGGAACCAGGAGTTGATCTTGGGGATGAAGGAGGGATCCAGACCGGAGAACCACCCTGTCTGTGTGGAAAGTACAGAGTTCTTCTCTCACAGAGAGAGCAGCCAATTCCGAGATTTGCCTGGCCGATGTGATGGTGACTAAAACGGCGACCTTAAAAGACAAAAACCACAGACTCATAGATCTGAGAGGTTCGAAGGGTGGTAAGGTAAGGGCGTGTAAAACTTTAGCTAAGTCCCAGGTTGCATACCTGTGAAGAACAAGTGGCTTTAAATTGACCTCCCCCCTCAAAAAGGAGTGCACCACCAGATGGTGCGCTATGGAGTCTAGGTCCCCATAAGTCAATACGGAAGACAAGGCTGCTACTTGTCTTTGGATAGTATTAGGGGCTAACCCTTTATCCAGACTCTCCTGGAAAAAGTCCAGGATCTGAGGGATGGAAACTGCTGTGGGATCCAGACCTGACCTGATACACCAACTACAGAATGCCTTCAAAGTAGAATTTTAAATTCTGTTGGTGGAAGGCTTCCTGGAAGCCTCTATCGTCTGTATCACCCTCCTTGAAAAGTTGTCCCTCGTCAGAAGCCGCTTCTCAAGTGCCAGGCGGTCAATTGGAGCCACTGAGGCCCTGGATGGACAAAGACCCTGCTGGGAGAGATCCTGGCCCGAGGGATTCTCCAAGGCTGGGACACAGAGAGACTGAGGAGGTCTGCAAACCATGGCCATCTGGGCCAATGGGGTTTGATCAGCAAGAGCTCGGCCTCCTCCATGAGAAGTTTCCTGATTACTCCCAGTATAATGGGGAGAGGAGGGAATGCATACAACAGGCCTCTGGGCCATGCACAGCGGAGGGCGTTGACTTCCTCTGCTCCTGGGGTTGGAAACCTTGTGAAGTATCTGGGCAGTTGCAAGTTCGTCGGGATGGCGAATAAGTCCAGGACTGGACGGTCAAACCTCCTGCACAGTTCCTGGAAGATGTCTGGGTACAGTTGCCACTCGGAGTGGTCCACCATGCTCCAGCTGAGAAAGTCTGCCTGCACATTTGCCACCCCCGAGATGTGTTCTGCCTTGATGGAACTCAGGTGAGTCTCTGCCCAGAGAATTAGGTGGTCCACTTCGCGCATGAGAGACCTTGAGTGGGTGTCCCCCTGGCAGTTGATATGCACTTTTGCAGCCACATTGTCTGTCAAGATCAATAGGTGTTGCCCCTCTACCATGGCTTTGAAGTGATGATGGCTCGGAGCTCCAGCCAGTTGATGTTCATAAGATCTGCCTGAGACCATTGTTCTTGAGCCAGCTGCTGCTGGAGATGGGTTTCCCATCCGAAGAGGCTGGCATCTGAGGTCAATGTCAGATGGCCGGGCTCCTTGTATAGTGTCCCCCTGGCTGGGGACATCCACCACCTGAGGGATCTGAGCGTCTCTAATGGAACCCTGACCTTGGCGTTGGAACTGCTGCTCCTTTTCCTCTGGAGTGGTAGAAGGAACCATTGCAGAGTTCTGAGGTGCGATCGGGCCCAAGGAACAATGGCTATGCATGAGACCATCTTTCCTAGGAGACAGAACTGCCAATGGAACCAAACGTTCTGTCCTGATTTGAGTGACCAAGGACTTGATACTGTCCTGTTGCTCCTGGGATAGACTTTGCACAGCCTGGTGTCTATCACTGCTCCTAGATGGAGCAGTTGAATGGTAGGTGTCAGATGACTTTTCTGAAAATTTATGGAGAATCCATGTTCCTGTAGAACGTAGATTGTAGTCTCGAGATCCTGCTGAGCGAGCTGGGACAAGGACAATTTGAATATCGTCCAGGTAGCACTGGAGATGCACCAGAATGGATCTGAGATGCACCGCCAGTGCCACCAGGATCTTTATGAATGACCTGGGAGCTGACACTAAACCAAACTGTAGAGGTCTGTACTGGAAGTGCAGATCTGAGTAACAGAATCTGAGGTACCGTCGGTGCCAGAGATGGATGGAAATGTGAAGATAAGCCTCTGTCAAATCAATCGATGACAGGAGGTTGCCCTCTCTGATGCTGGCCAAGATTGACTGCAGAGAGTGCATTTTAAACCTCTTGTACATCAAATGGACGTTGAACCTTTTGAGGTCTAGAATTGGTCTCCATTCCCCCCCGAGGCTTTTTGGAACGAGGAAGACAATCGAGTAGAATCCGTGCCCCCGTTGATCTTCCAGGACTGGCTCAATGGCCTGGATTTCCAGATGTTGGGTCGCCTTGTCCGTGAGATCTCTCTTGGTGGTGGTGTTCCTGGAGGTGGGGCAATGGACAAAGTGCCTCAGAGGAATGGAGAAAAATTCTAGAGTTAGGCTGAATCTTAGAGTGTTCAGAACCCACAAGTCTGAAGTAATCTTCTCCCACTGGTGGGCAAACAAGGTTAGACATCCGCCAATAGGGGGAGAGCACTGGCAGTCACTTGAAATGACGAAAGGAGCGCCCCCCCCCAAGAAAGGGCCGCTTGGCCTGAGGTGGTTGTTGTTGCCTGGATCTCTCCCTGAAGGAAAACCTATCCTGATGGTCAGATCTGGGAGGGAAGTTACGATGAAATTGGGAGTGGTCAGTGCCCATGACTTGTGGACGAAAAGGAAACCAACAACCATAGGGAGAAGCTTTCCTATCTGCCCTTCTCATGATAGTGGACAAGACCTTCCACTTGTCTTTGTTTTCAGTAAGAAAGGGTTCAAGGCCTCTCCAAAGAGTTGGGATCCTTGTAAGGTGCAGAAGCCAACCTCCATTTTGTCTTTGCCTCCGCCTGCCATTGGCAGAGCCATAAAAGATGGTGAGAAGCAATGGTTAGAGGCAAGGGGAATGAGCAGCATGAAGGGAGGAATCCGCCAAAAACTCAGCTACTGCCACCAGCTTGTTAATATCCTGGTGTATGTGTGTCTCCTCTGGTGGAATCCTCACCTGCAACTCCTTAAGCCAAAGCAAGGAGGTCCTAACAAAAAAAGAGGTGGCAGTGGCTGCCTTAATTGCCAAGGGGTTGGCAAGATGAGTGTGGCGGAAATTTAATTCCGCCTTTCTGTCCTCAGCTTTCATGGCCTCAGCAATGTCCCCGGAGACAGCTGAAGGAGAACCTAGGAAGACTAATGGATCATCCACTGAAGGCAACTCTAAGGAGTTAAAGAGGAAGCCATATTAAAATGCCTCTATCGTTTCCTCCCATCTTGGGAAAGGTGACCAGTTGGCACCACTGCTTATGAACTGCCTCAGTAAAAAGCCTGGGGCAGGGGATGTCCTCCTGCATAATCACAGGTTCAGAAAATACAGCTTTATCAGATGCCAGAGGCACTGAAGGACCTGACACTGCGGGCAGACTAGTCCCAATTTGGGCCATGTCTCTGGCCTTATGGAGGAGGGACTTAAACAAAGCTGGGCAAAACAGCCCAGTAAATGGGGGCGGGGGGGAGATCTGGTACCAAGTCCAAGTCATCAACAGAGAAGTCCTGTTCCACTTGGTCAGGTTCCTCTATTACAGAAGGTCTGCTTCTGAGGGAATGGGTGGGAGAGGTGGCCCTGTGAATCTGCTCAACTTCCCTGGGATACATGTAGTGATATGACATCTGAACAGGGAGCTCAGATGTAACAGAAGCCGCACAACTTCCAAGGTGAAGAGTAATGAGAAATGAGGAATTTGAGTTCCTCAGATAGACTTTGCTCCTGCCTCTCTATAGGGCGGAACCCAGAAGTGGTGGGTGTAAAAGTCGCCTCAGGGGAAAAACCCTCCCCCTATCCTGAGGCTCAGCCCCTGTTGCTAGGCAGTTAAAAGGAAACTGCTTTGTAGGTTGCAAACTTTCAGTTGGAAAACTAGAAAAAAATTCCCTATCGCCCTCTGGGGACCAGTTCAAAGGAACTGCAACAGTAGGTTGGGAGGCTGGCTGTGGGGGAGGAGCCACAGTTTCAGTTAAGACAGAAGCTGGAATACTTTCCTATTGAGTCTTCTTTTGCATTCTGGAGATTTGTTTTTCCAGAGCCTTCATTCTCCTGTCTGCATCTTTTTCCTCAGCTCTAGTTGGCTTCCTAGAGTAGACTGCCTTGGCTCTAACCTTGTCAGTTTGAGTTGTGTAGTCCATATGTTTTTTCAGTGTAAGAGTTGCATCTTTACTGGCTGATCTGCCTTTCCTGGATCTAGTCTTTCTGGGAGCAGCTGAAGAATCTCCCTGCCTAGCCATGCTGTTAACCATCAGAATCTGATCAGCCATCTTGACAGCTCCCTTAGCCCAGAAAGGAGAAGCTGTTCTGCCTACAGCCAGTTGAAAGGGCTGCAAAAAAAAAAATATGGCAGTGCTGACTCCCTTCAAAAACTAGGGCTATGATGCAATGGGCAAAGTGGCGGCAAGCCAGCACACAAACCCCTATAACCACGCTTCTCTCAAGGCTCAGTCAAAAACAGTGGAATCACAAAAGGCAAAACAGACTAGAGATCCCAAGGAGGCTTGTCAATCAAGCCATCAAGCTAAACAAGTGGCTTGCCAGGAACCGCTAAGCCGTGCTGTTAGCGCGTAAGTAAAAGTCCATAAAAACAGCTGAGAAGTGCTTGACTTAAAAGGAAAAAAAGACGGCTGGGCTCAGGATGCCCCAGGCGCGCAGCGGCTGCCCTCGCATGGAAAACTATTCCCTTTGGTATTATGCGAGGCTGGCAGCAAGCAGTGGCTATAGGGAAATAACAACGAAGACCAGGAAGCAGAGAAGGAAAAAGAAAAAAAATGCCTCTGTAGTGCTTTAAAACGCTACGAAGCTAACCTGAACTACAAGAAGTCAGCTTTAACCACAAACTCAGAACTACGAGCCAATCTTTTGCCACAACTTTCTAGGGCAAGACTGAGTCGTGAACTGGGGAGAATCACAGTTGATGAAGGGTGTGGCAAAAACAGTTGGACTCAGTGTCCAGGAAGAAAGGCATATGTCAACCCATCCATGGATTCTCCAATCGTCGTGCTGGAGAATAATTAGACACATAGGGTTTGAATTGGGATGGAGGGATGGAAAATAAAAAGGGAAGACAAAAACAGAATGGTTATGCAGATTGTTATGCAAATTACATATGAAGTAAATTATAAGCACCTTAGGAATTAGCAATGGTAATGTTGATAAATACCTATTGTTTTTCTTCTTCTAGCAGCATCTGCAATTTTTCTATGAATGTGTTGAGCAATTTCTTGCTCAATAGAGCTGATACTTTTTTCCACAAGTTTCACTATTTTGTGATCTAAAATAGAGCATCCTGGAAGCCTGAAATTTGCCGGTATTTACTGCTCACTATTTGAAAGTCCCTTTTATAAAGTAGTAGGACATTAAAAATATTTAGAAATTGACATGCTTTTAAATTTTTTCATATGCGTGTAACTTTGATTATGTTAAACCAAAAAAAACCCAAAACCCTCTTTCTTTAAAACCCAACTGACTTTATTTTGGGATTAAGGGGTTCCAACAATATGCAAAAGTTCAAATAAATTTTAAAAACCATTCCATTTTCAAAGGACTGATTATTCATTATGCGTCCAAATGTCATCAATAAGTAGGTGGTTTCTATGTTGTTATTTTTTTCTTTTGTTTGTGAGCTGGCCAAGGTTATGTTGTATAAGATGGGAGGCTATATAAATTTATAAATAAATAAAAATGAATAATTGACAGATCTTTTATTTTAAAATATTTTACTAAGAAGTTCTTTCTCATTGATAAGTAATGGAAAGAAAAGAATACATAATATTATAATATTATTATACAGAGTCATTTGGATCTGCTTGTAGCATACTTTCTAACCCTGGGAGGAGTAAGGTAGTCAATCATTTAGCTTTCCACAATTTGATGCTCTTTAAATGACTCAGACTTCAGCTCCTAGAATTTCAAGAAAGCCTGACCAAGTATTTTGTAACTATTACTTCTTTTTTTGTACTGCTTGATTTGGGGAGAGAATTAATGACGGGGAGAGAGAGAGAGAAGGAGGGAGGTAAGGAGGGAGGGAGACAAGCATTATAGGTAGCTAGCTGTATTGGCTCACCTGAACTCAAACCCTGCTGAACCTCTTGCAGGGTTACCTCTGAGGAGAGTCTGGTACTGCCAATGGGAGAGGTCGCAACAGTTGCTTTACTTGTTAAAGTCCCTTGTGAATATGTAAACTTTCCCACAGAGCTTGATGAGATGAGTGGCTTAATAGTGACTCCAGATATGGTTTCTTCCACAGGGTGTTTCTTGGATGTCACAGGTACTGTGGACACTTCTGTACTTGATAATTGAGTAACCCAAGAGCTGGTGTATTCCTCATGAGGAAATGAACTGCTGCTATTGGATGATACATTCGTAATACCTGAAGTAGCGGTGGCTTCAGTTTCTACATGGGAAATGTTAGTCATTGCTGAGCTATCAACTGACATCACTGAGGTTGGCGTGTGTTCTGTGCTTTGTAATCTAGTGCTTGGTTGTGATAACAAATTCGTTGTTGATAGAGTTATCTCTGATGTACTTGATGTGTCATTAGGTGTAGTAGACAATAGGATCGTATCATTTTCAGTAGGTGTCAGTGTAGTTGTAAAGGAAAGAGTAACAGGACTTGCAACTGTTTTTACAGTATTTGCTGCTGAAGTGCTGTTGAGTGTAGGGGTCTGGTTGGTTACTTTTGTTTTATTTGAGATGGGAGATGTAGTCACTGAGGAGATGGAGTAGATATTTAGTCCTGCATAAGTGAATAGGAACATTTGTATTAGTAGCTTCCAAGACAACATATTTACTTATATCATTGTCTTTTAGATATCTGAATTAACACAGGTACCATTATTACTGGGGTGGCTTGGTAGCTCAGTGGTTAAGAAGCTGGGCTCATCATCTGGAAGGCTGGCATCCTCACCCCAGTTTCTGCCAACCTAGCAGTTCAATTATGCAAATGCAAGTAAATAAATAGGTACCATTTCGATGGGAAGGTCACAGCACTTTGTGACATCATGCTGGTCACATGTCCATGGGTCAATGGCCTTGAAACAGAGATGAGCACCACCTCCTAGTCAATAATGACTAACGGACTTTTCCTTACCATAATAGTGTATTATACCTATTTTAAATTGCCAGTTGTTTTGCTCACCTTGATTTATTTTCAGTAAGTTAATTATCATTTTCCAACCCTAAAGGTAAACTTAGGACATATTTTTTTTAAAATAAAACAAAATAAAAGTTGCTACCATATTTAGTCCTCTGGAGAAATGAAAGGAAGTATTTGGATAAATTATTCAGATGAGAAGTATCTTTTCATGTTAGTATTTATATTCATCAAAATAGGGGTTCAAAAATACTGATATTCTTATCTATATTACTCAGTGAAATAGGTGCCTTCAAATGCAAAGCAGAGCTGAAAATTTATGAACTGTGTAAAATGAATAGTTCTCTAATTGGCATTAGAAGACAATTAGAATTTCTCCAATTTCTTCTTAAAGCCTAGCCAACTGGGAAATAAGATTGAAGGCGAGTAGCAATAATTCAATTTCTGTTCCTCTTAAGCTTCTTTAGTGATAGATTTTTTTGACTCTAACATGACTTGTCTGTTGCTGGCAGCAATGCTTCCAGGTGCCTCTATCTGCTATAAGATCCCTGCTATAAGATCTCTCCTGCCCTATTGAGCCTAAGAGTCATCTTCTCCGTACAGGTAGTCCTCAATTTACAACCACAATTGAGCCGAAAATTTACGCTAAGTGAGAATTTGTTAAATGAGTTTTGCCCCATTTTATGACATTTCTTGCCATAGTTGCTAAGTGAATCACTGAAGTTGGTAAGTTAGTAACCTGGTTGTTAAGTGAATCTGGCTTCCCCATCTCCTTTGCTTGCCAGAAGGTTGCAAAAAGTAATCACATGACCCTGGCACACAACAAGTCATAAGTATGAACTCTGATCACATGATCATGGGGGTACTGTAAATGTCATAAATCACTTTTCTGTGCCGTAGTAACTTTAAATGGTTACTAAATGAATTGTTGTAAGCCGAGAACTACCTATATATAAAACATCCCTGTAAACTCAAAGAAGAAATACTGGCGATTATCATCAAAGAATTAAGCAGTGTATTTAGCATTTTCTCCCAACAATTAAAAATAGAATTCACTTTCTAGGACATTCTGGTAGGTTTTCATTTATGTAGATACAAAACCAAGAGAACGTGAGCAGTGAGAAAGGACTATAAAATTTAAGGAGTAAATGAATCAGATATTTTCTACCAGATGGTTATTAGAAGACTTAGAATCCATGGTAAAAAAATAAATAGCACCACAAGTTTGCATCATTCAGGCAGACTTTAGCATTGAATTTTTCTCAGTGAAAAAGTTACATCTCTTTTTTTAGTATAAAACCCAGAATGGTTTCAATACTGGGGATGGGTATTTGTCGGGAGAAGAAGTTGGAGAAATTGCTCAGAAACTGATATAAAAGCAAAATGCTCAAAGCATGCCCTTTGGATTTGGTTTCCATCCACATCTGAAATATCACAAATCTTCGGGGTTGGTTTGGAATGTGGTGATTTGTTTTACATTTGAGACAAATCCCTATTTCAGGAGTTCAAACACAAGGCCCGTGGGCTGAATCCAGCAAGTGGGGTGTTTATTATCTGGGGGCCGTGCAGGGCCGCCCTGGAAACAGTGAAGGACTGGCCCATGGTGCCTCTGCAGTGAAAATGGAGCTCCCGAGCATAGTTCTTGGCTGCATTGGCCTCCTGCAGTGCTCTGCCAGCGAAAACGAGCTCCATTTTCACTGGTACAGTACTGCAGGAGGCCATTGCAAAATGGAGCCTGGGAGGGTTGCCCCCCCCCAACACGTTGACCTGGCCTCCAAGGTCAAACATAATCCTGATGCAGCCCTCAATGAAATTGAGTTTGACACACTTGCCATATTTCTTATGAACTTCTTATGCTTTCTCATTTTCAGGCTGCCTTGTGTACCCCATAGCCCTATGAGTTGCTGTTTCCAAAGAATACAGGGAGATATCACCTTGCAACCCTGACAGCTGCAGCATTTCTATCTGGAGAGTGAAGTGAACTTCAGTCTGACTTTGCAATTTAATTGCACTCCTACATTTGATCTAATTGTAGTTTATTCCTCTTTTGATCTTGCCCCCTTACATTTCTGCTTTAGGCCAACTGTTTTTAAAAATAAATTTAAAAAGCGTGCATGTCATAAGCTCACCTTCAGCCACTTGATTAAAACCAAACAATACATAAAAAGTAAGCTTGCTAATCTGCTACACACACATCATTTAAAACTATGAACTACAATACATCAATACAATACTCAAGGATTAAATTAAAAATATAAACTCTATATGCATCCCATTTGCCCCTGCAATTGTGGATGCAGTACAAATACAGTTACAAGTTATAGTCAAATAATAGTTTAAAATTACAATTAATATCTATATCAAATTTGCTTTTTAATACAAAATTATTCTGGACATTGAAATATATTCTCACAATTAAGTTAGTCATTTTCAAGGAAGGAATCAACAATTATTTCTAATATAAGAATGCAAAATCCTTGCAGCCATTAATGAATATCTGAATCAAGTTTTAAAACAATACATTATTTCATGAAATTCTATAAAAATATCTATTGTAGAATATTTAATTCAATTACAACACTCAAATTCTGTTCGATGGGTAATTTTCCAGAATTGTTTGGTTTTACAGCATTGGGACTACATATGAAAAAAGACACAAAAACAATTCAATCCACTCATTACATTTCAAAACTTTTTAGGAAAGGCATTGTTCATTTTAACAATCAAAACTACAGTAATATGTCAACATCTTTCCTTGAAATTCCTATTGTTGTGTCTCTGTTACTATATTCAAATTGTGCATCCAATAAATGTACAGTCTTTGAGTACTTCAGATTATGAATCAGAAAAGAACAGAGTTGGAAGGGACCTTGGAGGTCCTCTAGTCCAGCTTCCTGCTCAAGTAGAAGACCTTATACCATTTCAGACAAATGTCTGTCCAATCTCTTCTTAAAAACCTCCAGTGAATAACTGGAGACAATATGTCCCACTGATTAGTTGTTTCATTCTCTGGAAATTTCTTCTTAGTTTTTAGGTTGGATCTATCTTGGGTAGGTTTCCATCTGTTATTACTTCTCTTGCCCTCAGGTCAGGGGTGGGATTCAACCGGCATTACTACTAGTTTGGTTTTTGCATTTTGCGCGTGCGTCTACTATACCATTAGCTGAGCCACTGGGACAGCTGATAAGCGTTGCGCGCGGGTGTGCAGCGTTTCAAAAAGCACTTTTTTTACTGCTTTTTCAACCTCAGCTATGCCGCACGAAGTAGCTCTGTTGAAAAAGCAGGAAATAAAAGTCAGGTAAGAACCCGGGCAGGTGGATGGGCCAAACAGCAGCAGACACAGAACTGGTTTGGTGTCTGCTGCTCTTCAGAGCTACTGGTTCTATAGAGCCTAGCAGAACCGGTAGCATCCCACCCCTGCCTCAGGTGCTTTGGAGAATAGGATGTCCCCTTCTTCTTTGTGGGGGACCTCAAATATTGGAAGATTACCTGCAATTGTTCACCATATATTTTAACTTCTGGCCCTCTAATCACTTTTGTTGCTCTGTACTTGATCTTTTTTCTATCATGGTGACAAAAGTTGGCTGCAGTATTCCAAGTACAGTCTTGATAAAACAGTACCTAGCAGCATAGTTTTCCTCTGTTAATGCAGCCTAGGACTGCATTGGGTTTTTTGACAGCTGCAACACACTGCTGGCTCATACAGGTAGTCCTTGACTTATAACAGTTCATTTAGTGCCTGTTGAAGGTTACAGCAGCACTGGAAAAAAAAGGACTTAAAATTGTTTTTCACACTTACAAACACTGCAGCATCTCCATAATCATGTGATCAAAATTCAGATACTTGGCAACTGACTCTTATTTATGATGGTTGCAGTGTCCTGGGATCATGCAATCAGCTTTTGTGAACTTCTGACAAGTAAAGTTAATGGGGAAGCCAGATTCACTTAATAACCATGTTACTAGCCTAGCAACTGCAGCAATTCACTTAACTACTGTGGCAAGAATGGTTGTAAAATGGGGTAAAATTCATTTAGCAAATATCTTGCTTAGCAACAGAAAATTTGGGATCCATTGTGGACGTAAGTCAAGGATGACCTGTACTTTAGTGGTTGTCCACTAGAATGCCTAGATTCCTCTAACAGTTACTGCTGTCAAGCCAGGTATCATCTCTTTTCTATCTGTGCATTTGGTTTTTCATGTAAAACCTTACTGTTCTGGCCAATGAACTGCATCTTGTTGGATAGGACCCAGTCTGTCTTCAAGTCTGTGAAGATCTTTCTGAATCTTGAACCTGTCTTCTAAAATGCTATTTCTCCTAATTTAGTGTCATGTGTAAATCTGATGAGTTCCCTTTCTCCCCCCATTTTTCTATCTTACCAAGAAGCAGTTTTTGGTTGTGGTCCACTTTGTCAAATACATTTTTGAAATCCAGTTTTGCTATGTTCACATTTCGCTGGTCCATTAATTTAGTCGCTTTGTCAAGGATGAAATAAGATTTCTTTGGCATGATCTGTTTTTGACAAACCTGTGTTAGCTTCTACTAATAGCTTTGCAGTGTACTTGCTACACACCTAATCTAACTGATTGGCAAAAAAATTATCTATTTCCTCTGTTTGTTTGGGTGGTATGAAGGATGCACC